CTAGAACCTATAACTGTATTCAGCAAAGTTGCAGGATATAAAATTAATATGCAGAAATCCATTGCATTACTGTATACTAATGATGAACTAGTAGAAAGAGAATTCAGGAAAACAATTCCATTCACAATTGCATCAAAAAGAATAAAATACCTAAGAATATACCAAACCAGAGTGGTGTAAGATCTATATCCTGAAAACTACAAGACACTCAAGAGAGAAATTAAAGAAGACACCAATAAATGGAAATACATCCCATGCTCATGGATAAGAAGAATTAATATTGTCAAAATGGCCATCCTGCCTAAAGCAATCTACAGATTCAATGCAATCCCTATCAAAATACCAACAGCATTCTTGAAAGAACTACAACATGTAGTTCTAAAATTCATAGGGAACCATAGAAGACCTCGAATAGCCAAAGCATTCCTGAAAAGGAAGAATAAAGCTGGGGGCATTATGCTCCACAACCTCAAGCTCTACTACAAAGCCACAGTAATCAAGGCAATTTGGAACTGGCACAAGAACAGACCCATAGATTAATGGAACAGAACAGAGTGCCCAGATATAAACCCACACATACATGGCCAATTAATATATGATAAAGGAGTCATGGATATACAGTGGGGAAATGACAGTTTCTTCAACAGCTGGTGTTGGCAAAACTGGACAGCTACATGTAAGAGAATGAAACTGCACGATTGTGTAACTCCATACACAAAAGCAAGCTCAAAATGGATCAAAGACCTGAATGTAAATCATGACACCATAAAACTCTTAGAAGAAAACATAGGCAAAAATCTCTTGAATATGAACATGAGCAACTTTTTCTTGACTGCATCTCCTCCGACAAGGGAAATGAAAGCAAAATGAACAAATGGGACTATATCAAACTAAAATGCTTCTGGATAGCAAAGGCCATGATCAGTAGAACAAAAAGCCATGGTACAATATGGGAAAGTATATTTGTAAATGATATATCCAATAAGGGGTTAACATCCAAAATATATAAAGAACTCACATGCCTCAACACCCAAAAAGCAAATAACCCGATTAAAAAATGGGCAGAGGGTCTGAACAGACACTTCTCCAAAGAAGAAATTTGGATGGCCAACAGGCACATGAAAAGATGCTCCACATCACTAATCATCAGGGAAATACAAATTAAAAGCCCAATGAGATGTCACCTCACACCAGTCAGGATGGCCAACCTCTGAAAGACAAAGAACAACAAATGCTAGTGAGGATGTGGAGAAAGAAGAACCCTACTATACTGCTGGTGGGAATGTAAATTAGTCAACAATTGTGAAAAGCAATATGGAGATTCCTCAAAAAAATTAAAAATAGAAATACTATTTGACCCAGGAATTCCACTGCCAGGAATTTACTCACAGAAAAGAAGATCCCAGATTCAAAAAGACATATGTATTCCTATGTTTATCACAGCACTATTTATAATAGCAAAGATATGGAGGCAACATAAGTGTCCATCAGTAGATGAATGGATAAAGATGATGTGGTACATATACACAATGGAATATTATTCAGCCATCAGAAGAAAACAAATCCTACCATTTGCAACAACATGGATGGAGCTGGAGGGTATTAATCTTAGTGAAATAAGCCAGGTGGAGAAATACAAGTACAAAGTGATTTCCCTCATTTGTGGAGTGTAAGAACAAAGCAAAACTGAAGGAACAAAACAGCAGCAGACTGACAGACTCCAAGAAGGGACTAGTGGTTTACCAAAGGGAAGAGGGTGGAGAGGTAGGGAAAAGGTGTTTAAGGGGCCTTCTGACTGGCACACTCAATGTCGGTGGATGATGGGAAAGGCAGTATAGCACAGAGAAGACAAGTAGTGAGTCTACAGCATCTTACTACACTGATAGACAGTGACTACAATGGGGTGTGGGGGCGGGATTTGATAATACAGGTGAATGTTGTTAAGAACAATGCTGCTCTTAGGAAACTTTCATGGCATTGTTTATCAATGATACCTTAATAAAATAAATAAAAATGGGGAAAGCTCTTGGAAAACTTGAAGACCCAGAAATAAATAAGATAAATAGAAAAAATATATAGAAGCAGAGGAAGTACTTCCTAAATGATTCTGAGGCCAGCATTACCTAATACTAAAGTGAGTAAAATACATGATAAGGAAAGAAAACAAACCAGTATCTTTCATAAACATAAATGTAATATTTCTGAACAAAACACTATCAATTCATATCTAGCAATGCATGAAAAGAAATACACCACAAGTAGGAGTTATTGTAGGTATGAAAGGCTGGTAGAACATTTGAAAATCAATTAATGTAATCTACCACATTAATAGGCTAAAGAAGGAAAAAACACATGATATTAGTCAATGTAGAAAAAGTATTCTTCAAAATCCAACACCCATGCATGATAAAAATTCTCAGCAGACTAGGAATACATGGGAACTTCCTCAACTTGATAAAGAATATCTGCAGAAAATCAACAGCTAACGTTATACTTAACAGTAAGAAACTTGAAGCGTTCCCACTGAGTTCAGACACAAAGTAAGGATACTCCCTTTCATCACTGCTTTTCAACATTGTAGAGGAAGTCCCAAATAATGCAGTTAGATAAGAAAAATAAATAAAAGCTATACAAACTGAAAAGGAAGATATGACTGTCTTTGTTTGTGGATAACATGACCACCTAGGTAGAAAACCTGAATGATTCAACAAAAAAATTCCTTGAACTAGTGTTTGCAGTAGAGTTGCAGGACACAAGTTTAATACACAAAAGTCAATCACTTTCCTATGTACCAGCAATAAAAAAGAGGAATTTCAAATTAAAAACAGTATTATTTACATTACACCTTCAAAAATGCAATACTAAGGTATAAATCTAACAAAATACACACAAGATCTATGTAAGGATGACAAAACTCTAATGAAAGAAATCGAAGAATTAAATAAATGGAGATAGTTCTTGTTCATGGATAGGAAGACTCAGTATTGTCAAGATGTCTGCTCTTCCCCACTAGATCTATAGAGACACAAGGCAATTCTAACCCAAGTTCAAGCAAGTTATTTGATGGATGCTGATGAGCTGATTCTAAAGATTATATGGAAAGGCAAAAGACCCAGAAGAGCCAAAACAGTATTGAAGGAGAACAACAAAGTTGGAGGGCTGACATTACCCAACTGCAAGACTTACTATAAAGCTACAGTAATCAAAGCAGTATGGTACTGATAAAAGAATAGGTGAATAGACAAGTGGAATAGAATAGAGAGTCTAGAAACAAACCCACATAAATAGAGTATGTTAACCAATATTTAACAAAGGTGCAAAGGCAAGAGAACAGAGAAAGATTCTTTTCAACAAATGGTGCAAAATAATAGGACATTCCCATAATGACAACAATCCAGACAACATCCAACACTAACATTAGCCCCACAGGGACCACAGACCTAATGTAAATCACAAAGGTGTGACACTCCCAGAAGATAACACTGGAGAAAATGTACATGACCTAGGGTATGGCAATGACTTTTTAGACACAACACCAAATGCACAAACTGGACTTCATTAAAATTAAAAACTTCTGCCCTCTGACAGCCAGTGTTAAAAGAACAAGAAAAGCCACAGACTTGGAGAAAATATTTGCAAAAGAAACATCAGATAAAGGACTGGTATCTTTACCAGTAAAATAGGTAAAGAACACTAAAACTCACAATAAAAATACAAACAAACCTATTTAAATATGGCCCAAAGATCTTAATAGACATCTCACCAAAGATGACATTCAGATGGCAAATAAGGACAGGAAAAGATGCTCCACATTATACATCATTATAGAAGTGCAAATTAACAAGGAGACACCACTACATACCTATTAGAATGGCCACAATCCTAAACACTGGCAACACTAAATGCTAGCTAGGATACAGAACAACAGGAAGTCTGACTCATCGCTGGTGAGAATGCAAACTGGTACAGCCACTTTGGAAGTGTCTTATAAAACTAAACATACCAGTATTTACCAAAAGAAGCTGAAAATACCACATAAAAACCTGCACATGGATGTTTAGAGCAGCTTTACTACTCATTTTCAAAACTTGGAGGCAACTAAGATGTTCTTCAGTAGATGAATGGGTAACTAAACTGTAGTACATCCAGACACTGGAATATTATTCAGTGCTAAAAAGAAATAACCTATCAAGCAATGAAACACATGGAGGAACTGTTAAAAGCATATTACTAAGTTAGAAGCCAATTGGAAAAGGCTATATACCATATGATTCCAACTATATGACATTCTAAAAGAGGCAAATTTATTGAGACAGTAAAAAGATCAGTGATTGCCAGAGTTGGGGATAGAGGGGGAGGGCTGACTAGGTGGAGCTCAGATAACTTTTAGGAGAGTGAAAATATTCTCTATGATGCCATTAGGATGGATATATGTTATTACACATTTGTTGAAGCCCACAGAATGCACAACACCAAGAGTGAACTGTAATGTAAATGATACACTTTGGGTTATTATGATATGTCAATGAAGCTTTATCAATTGTAACAAAGATACTACTGTGATGAGGACTGTTGATAATGGGAAAGGCTGTGCATTTGTCGGGGCAGGGGTGTATGATAAATCTCTACCTTCTGCTCAATTTTGCTGTGATCTAAAACTACTGCAAAAAATAGTCTTAAAGAAAGATGTTGCTAAAAATGCCTTCTGAATATTTTGTTTCTCCAACAACTGAGCAAATAACTCCTTTAATCCCATTTTCTTCTTAAATACAGTAATGTAAGAGATCAAAAGGTTTACATACTAAACTTAATCTTCAAAAATCCACTTGCTATAAAAATAACAAGATAAAGTGTGATATTTCTAATTTTAAAAATATTTGTATGCAGAAAAACAAATATGCTATAAAAATGTCCATTTTACCAAAAACTGGTAACTTCTAAAACCTGCTGTGATCATATTTTAATAAAAAATTTTATAAAATATAATTGAGAAAACCAACTTGAGCTGCTCTTTGCTTTAGTTCCCAATTTCTTTCTTTGAGTGCCTGATCCATGTCAAGGAGTTCTTGCTTTTTGTCTTCAATCTCCATCTTGCATTCTCTGCAATGTAGCAAAGGAAAAAGAGGGAATTTTTATTAAAAAAATAGTCAATTGGGTTACCTTTCCTATAAGTTAAAATTGATGGTATATGTAATTCTTTCATATTAAAAGGGCTCAATGGAATAATATATAAAGAAAATGATTGATATAAATACAATTATTTTAATAGCATCTTCTAAAAAGGCCAAAGGTAAATTCTACTGTTACAGATACTTTAAGCTATTTAAAGCACTCCCAGGTTATAAGACTGAATCAGTATAAGGATTTTTAAAATACATCCATATTTTATCACCTATTCATCAAGGGAGATTTGAAAGTCTTTTCTTATATATAACAGCTGTGAGTTTATTACAACTGAATGAAACATTCATCTCCCAGTTGGGGGTATCCCTAATATCCACAGCTCAGTAAATGATGACTGTATTTCTAATGGGAATTTTACTCAAAATGACACCTTACATATAGAGAAGTATTAAAGTCTACTACAGAATTATTTTATAGTTTTTATAAATTCTAACCCTCCTAAAACCCTAACTTATGTTTAATTTTATAATATAAAAATGTGTAATACTGACATAATTTAAGACTTCAACCACTGCCTGTGATTAGACAATTTTAATTTGTAACTACGTTCTGGTATGACAAAGGCTGAAAATGTTAGCCTTGATCTTGAAAATCTTTATATGATTTTCCAGTCTTAAACATAAAACAATACTGAATAAACGTACTGATTATAAAAAGCAGATTCTGAACTTCTTTAATAACCTGTTTACTATCCTTTCAAACTCTCAAGAGTTATAAAATACAAGGCTAAACTAATATTCTAAAAGTAATGAATAAAGAGTTGATTGGCCAAGAAGGAAGGCAAGGCAGAAATCTCCTCCCATATACACACCAAGGAAGCAACTACAGCAAATAAAACTAACCCTGAATATGACCAGAAGACTGCAGAACAGATCATCTACACCTGGGGAAAAAAAGAAGCCCACACTGAGAAGGGTGAAGTGGCAGAGCAACAATCAATAGGGACCCAAGCCCTCCTCCCCATCCCAGCCCACAAGTGGGAGAGAGAGAAAGGGAGCAGGGAGGGGATAATCACTCAGGAACTCTGCACACCTGGCCTTGGAGATCTGCTATGGGGACATGAGAACACATTGCACTGGGCATTGGTGATTAACAGGGCTGGACACCAGGGAGAGTTGGAGCATTCTGGTAAGCTGAGACTCCTGTCACTTGTGGAGGACAAGCATGCTCTGTAGGTCCCGCTGAAACCCAACACAGAGGAGGCAGTTTGACAGATTTACCAGCAGTAGGAAAGGTGCCAGAGGGACTGGGGTTGGATAGAGCTCTCTCCACAGGAGAATGGGCAGATGGGCAACACTTCCCCAGCCCTCCCTCAGCCCAACTAGTCGGGAGCTCTTGGGAGCCAGCCACCGATGCTCCATCACCCTAGCTGGTGGCTCAGGCCCGAGGTGCTTCCCAGTTCACCTGACCCAGTAGCAGTCAGACTTTGCTGTTCGGCAGGCAGAGGGAGAAAAACAAATACCATATGACTTCACTTATTTGTGGAATCTAAAACCAAAATAAAACAGATGGAACAAAGTAACAGTAGACTCACAGACACCGAGAAGTGACGTGGTTAACATGGGGTAGGACTGGGTTGGGTGGGGTGGGTGAGGGGAATAAAGACACACAAAATCTCTTCATAATGTAAGTTGGTCATGGTGAGGTAGGGCAGGGACATGGGACAAGCATCATGATTAACTTTTCCTGCCTATGATAAAAAAATGCCAAGATATAAACAGTAGAGTAAGAACAAGAGGGACCCCCTCTTAAGGCTAAGATTCCATTTTAAAAACCAGGGAGTTAAGAAGATTCCTAACATATTCTTTGGTAAAATGATACAATAACCCACCCAATCTTAAGGCAGGGCAAGCAGCCCTAACTGATATGTTCCCAGGGCTTGAGAGAAACCACTATTTTGGAGAAGAACCAGATCAATAAATTCCCTGTGTTAAGTTAAGCTTACAGAATTACCTACAAGATTGACTGTGCATCAGGACATAGTGTCCTTCACTGGAGAGAGACTTCATGAGACCACAAGTCAAGCTTAAGCCCTCAAACCCCCCACCTCCACCCTTTGCCCCATTTTTGAAAGCCCTTAAAAGAGGGAACCCCCAACCTTTTAGCCCACCTCATCTCTGAGAACACCTGCACTTTAAGTGCACACTTTTAAATAAAGCTTTCTCACTGCTCAAATATTGCATTTAGTCTCTTTGCTATTTCATTCTATTTCTAAGTCCTCACTCTGTCTCTGATTTACTCCTGATAAGTAGGCAGGGACTACTGAGACTCAGATTTGGGACTGCAAGTTCCCATTGCCTGGATGCCCCAGACAGAGATGCAGCTGTGTGATCTGCTTTTAGTAGCCTGCCTGAAAATCTCCTTTCTTTGGGAAGTTCTCAGAACATAATCTCACTCCATCCTGTGCTCTGCAGTTACCACAATACCTGGGGTAGTAAGAGCTAGTCTCTACACCATTCAGATACAAGCAGATATGGAATGCCAGGTGACCCTGGCTTCAAGAGTTGGCAAAGGAATCTGCCCTAGGCCAAGTAGTTCAACCAACTTTCCCTCCTGCCCTCTGCACCTGCTTGCTCTCTTCTGCCTGTAAGGCAGCTGCTATTACTTGCTGCTCTCACTTCAGTGAATTTCTTCTTTACCTACACTTGTCCGACCTGCTCAAGAATTCTTTCTCATTCAAGAGTCAAGAACACTCCCCGATCCAGGTTGAGGTTTCACCTAGTGTGCAAGGAGAGACCTCCCTAAACACAGCTATTTGGCAACAATGGGGATAGAAGTGCAGCATGGAGAATATAGTCATTGGTTCTGTAACACCTATGTTGACAGACAGTAAACTGCACTAGTTAGGGTGAGGATTTAATACTGTGGATAATTGTTGAACCACTGTATTGTATACTTGAAACCAATGTAAGATTCAAAATCAACTCTACTTCAAATAAAAAAATATTAATAAACCTAAAATCAAAAATAAAGTATTATGAATTGAATTTCAAAGGTAACTCTATGCAAATAGCTGAGCTTCTAAAATTCGGCTACTAGCTCAAATATGAGATTTCATTATCTTTCATCAATGAAATAATATTCCATTGTGTAGACTACCACAACTTAAAATAAATATGATTCACTTATTTATTTAGCAAATATTTATTAGATGCTTTCTATTTGTCAGGGTTTCTATGTACTGTGGATTTAACAGTAAATAACACAGATGTCTATCACATGGAGCATACATTCTAATAGGTCCAGCAGAGAAAAAGGGCTATAAATAAATAACTCAAAAGGAAAATAGCATAATATAAAGCTAGAGCATTAAGTAGAATGACAATAGTGACTGGGTGACTACTTTACAAGAGGGGGTCAGAGTCTGAAATAATGTGAAAGGTAAGAAGAAAATGGTCATGCAACAATTATTTCAAGCTGAAGAAACAGCTATGGCAAGGTCATAATGCGAAAAAAATTGGGGAGGTTTAAGTTCAAAACAAAGGCCAAGAGCAAGAACAACATGGAATGAGGTCAAAGAAGTGGGCAGGTATCTTGTGATGTAGGGCATTGTATTCCAGGATAAAGAGCTTAGATGTTTTTTAATTGTTGTAAAATACATACAACTTAAGATTTATCATTTTTACCACTTTAAAGTGTACAATTGAGTACTTCACAATGTTGTATAACCACTGCCACTCTCTATTTCCAGTACTTTTTCATCATTCCAAATGGAAACCTTACATCCATTTATAGTTACTTTCTACTTCCCCTCACCCTAGTCCCATTAACCCGCTTTCTATCTCTATGGACTTGCTAATTTTATGCATTTCAGATAAATGAAATCATACAACATGTACCTGGTTTCTTTCACTTAGCCTAATATCTTCAAGATCAATCTATGTGGTAACATAGATTTTACTTATTTTCATAGCAGAATAATATTCCTTGCATGGATATACCACCCTGTGTTTTACCCATTCAACTACTGACGGGCATTTGGGTTGTTTGCACTTATTGGCTACTATGGAAAGAGTTGTTCTCAACATTTCAGCACAATTTTTCCTTGAACACCAGCTTTCAATCATTTTGGGTACAGAGCTAGGAGAAAAATTACTGAGTAGTTAAATGGTAATTCTTCTCATTTAAATTACTGAGGAACTGCCAAACTGTTTTCTCTGGCACCTATACCATCTTAATTTCCGACCAGGTATGTATGAGAGTTCCAATGTTTCTACACACTTGCTAACATTTATTATTTTCCCCCTTTCGTGGTGGGGATGTGTGTGTATGTATTTTTATTATAGTGATCCTAGTGGAAAACAGGCATCTCACTGTGGTTGTGATCTGCAGGTTCCAAGACGATTGTTTCATTATGTATCTTTTTTTTTTTGCTTTTTTAATTGTTTTTATTAAGGTATGATTGATATACAATCTAATGAAGCTTTCACGTGAGGAACATTGTGGTTACTACATTCACCCATATTATTAAGTCCCTTATTAAGTCCCCCAGACAAGTCCCATTGCAATCACTGTCCATCAGTGTAGTAAGATGCAAAAAACTCACTACTTGTCTTCTCTGTGCTATACTGCCTTCCCCATCACGCCCCCACATTGTGTGTGTTAATCATAAGGCCCCTTAAACACCTTTTCCCTACCTCCACACCCCCTTCCCTTTGGTAACCACTAGTCCCATCTTGAAGTATGTGAATCTGATGCAGTTTTGTTCCTTCAGTTTTGCTTTGTTGTTACACTCCACAAATGAGTGAAATCATTTTGTACTTGTCTTTCTCTGCATCACTTATTTCACAAAGATTAATGCCCTCCAGCTCCATACATGTCATTGCAAATGGTAGGATTTGTTATCTTCTGATGGTGAAATAATATTCCATTGTGTAGACTACCACAACTTAAAAAGTTTTTTAATTAAGGTATAA